ATTAAGAGGTTTTAAAAAATTTTACAGAGATGATTCTATTTGTACAGGGTATGTTACATTGTAACTGTAGTGTCAGTGCAAACAGACTATAAATAGTCCTGCATCAGGTTCAGGTTTGGGTTTGCCACCAAAGATACTCACTACAAATTTAGTTCCAATGTTTTAGAACTACTTAGATTTCAGAACTTTGGATAAGAGATTGTAAATCTATCAGAGGTTATCAACTTGTGTAGGTAAGAAGAAAACAGACACCTTTACTTTTAACCCATTAATTTTTCTTGCTATGATTTATCTCTATGATCATTTTAACAGAATTAATTGAGTAATTCAAGAAAAGAAAGAGATTGGTCAATTTTTTCAGTTCAACCAAAGATTTCATGGGAACACACAGTTCTCAGGTCAGCAAGAGCCATGGGAGGGTGAACTTTTGGGGGAAGTGAAAGGGAGGAAATAAAAGAGGCCAACGCAACGACATAAAAGCCACTGCAGAAAGTTCAGCAGAATTTAACATGTAGTCTTTAGATCACATAGAGGGGAATCCATGAGAAATGCAGTTGTCTTAGACTAACTACCTGGCTAACATGGTTATACTATTTACCAATCTTTATTCTGTGGGAAATCAGTGTTTTGCATTGTAAGTCCATTTCTTATTTAAACCATATCAAACTCTCATAAGTCCCTCATATTTCAGGGACTCCAAATATGCAATTTGCAGGACCCAGTGAATGCAGCACCTCCAACTCAGAAATATTAAGAACTTCAAGATGGCAATAGGGGTGCATTAAATCCAGAGCAAAGCCCAAGAGTGAGCCCTGCAACAGCACAGGTGGAACAGGTGAAGCGGGGTGTTACTGTCCCCACTTGTCATGTGTGGCAGCTGAGACAGAGAGGCTGTGAGCTGTACAACGTCAGACAGCTCAGCTGCTAAGTGCTAGCAGATAAGGCGGGACCTCATAGTCCTTGAACCTTTGGTTAATTCAGGGTGGATGTTCAGTGAATACTATAGGATCCCAAATTAAGACAATTCAGGAAGTATAAAGGAGTGTCCAGAAGTATTACAGGTTTTACAGGACCATGAGAGAGAGCAAGCCAAAATCTGGTAACACGCACAAGTACTACTACAAATATGCTACTAAATCACTGCAAATATGCAGGACATCCTCATCCTGATTCTCTTGCTAGCTTTGTTTTTTTCCTTTCATGCAGCCCAGGCTGGCCTTGAACTCACTGTGTGGCCCAGGCTGGCTTCAAACTCGCAGTGACTCTTCTGCCTTAGCCTTCCCAGTGCGGGGATTACAGGCAGCACCACCGTGCCTGGCACCTGCCAGTGTTTATAGTGTGTATTTAAAAAAAATTCCTCTGGGAGAATGATGAGAGCTAACTTGTGAATGTTCTTATTAAACAAGTAAATTGAAGTAAATCAAACTAAATACTAACCAGTGTCTTCCAAAGGGTAAGAAAAGGCCTCTGGTCACTGTGATCCCCAAAGGCACAGGGCACCTAAGTCTCAGCACCTAAGTCTTCTTCCATGCTTAGCATATTTCCTGCAGGACCTCACACAGCAGCTGCTGACGCACTGCTGAGACGCTCGAGTGTGGCTGGTTCCCAGAGGCTGCAGTCATGAGAATCTCTTGTCAGAAGCTATAACTGTACTTGTGCAAATAGGACAAAGAATTCCTCCCACAGTTCTGTGGCTAGTGAAATTCAGGTGACAGCTGAAGATGACATGATGGCATGAGAATGGCCAAAGATGTAAGAATCAGTGCGCTCACCACATAGTATGATTTGGGGTTGGCTGTGGCAGATGTAGGGACATTGAGCCTCTATCTTCTCCCCATGTGGAATTCCAGTGAGATGGAATGACCGTGACAGCTGACACTTCCAGCTGACCTTTTATCAGAGACCCTTAGCTTTGCTGATCTAAAATAAAGCTTATTTTGCTTTCTACTGGCATAGAAGTCTTGGAAAGCCATCAGGATTGAGAATGCTTCAAAGAAAGTGTCCCAAATGATAGCACAGAGACTTAACCTTTCCCTCCAAGAAGGGAGGATGGAGCCATGTGGAAATTAGCATTTCAGGAATGTCATCAAGGGTCCCCAACTCTTCCGAGGTTTCTACTTCACTACCAGCATATTGGCTTTCATTCTTGGCTGTGTACTTTCAAAGTCATACAAGACATCATTTCCTTGTATATCATGTCCAAACAGAAAGTTTGCCTTGTTCAGCTTCACCTAAAACCAGACCCTTATTTGATTTATCTCAGAGCTGAACCAAAAGCAGAAGGAAAAGGAGAGTGTGTGGAATAGAGAAAAAGGAAAAGCCAGTAGTGAATTACGTCAAGGAGGTTGGGCTTCATGCCACCAGGATTTCTTGGGAAATGCACAGTGCGGTCAGGACCATCCACCTGGGAGATGAATCTTAAGAGCTTTTGACTGTGACTCCTGTTGCCTAGTGGCTGGGAAGATGGCAAATGTGGCCAGGTAGCATGGCAAGGGTGTAGTGCCGGAAAGACTCAGCGGCAAAAATGTAAAGATGCTCAATGTGTGACCCTAAGCTGCTGTGCTGTCAGCCAAAGGAAAGTAGAGCACTGAGGACGGCCACCTTGCAGTGGAGGGCCTGACGCTAAGGTTCCAGGTTACCTCTATATCGGAAACTAAGAGGGTATCTTAATTACTTTTCTTATTGATGAGACAAAATACCTGGCCCCCAAAATTAAGGGAGGAAAGGTTTTGTTTAGCTCACAGTTTGTGGAGATTTCAGTCCATAATCAGCTGACTCCAAGGCAGGGACAGGGCAACCATTCATGGTGGTGGACAACAGCAAAAACAACAGGACAGGAACAAAAGCAACAGGGCAAAAGAGGCAAAAAAAAAAAAAAAAAAAAAAAGAGAGAGAGAAGACTCTTCCTGTCCCTTATAATGTATGTGACCTACCCACCCTGGGCTGGGTGTAGCACTCACACCCATAATCTCTGGAACTAGGCAATGAATCGATCACAAACTTTAGGTTCAGCTGCATCCTAGAGCAATTCCCCACCCCAGGACTGCATGAGGCTTTGGGGAGACATCCAGACACCAACCATAACAAAAGGCAAGTTCCTTTTCCCACCTCACTCCATAGTTCAGGTCCTCTAGCAAAACAGCCCATCTCACCATAGATTCCAGACAGAATTCAGTTTCTGCCAGCCTATGGAATTATTGGAACAAGTCTATCATCTTTCTGTGGGCACCAGGGGACACCCCAGTCTGTTTATGCTACAAAGATGGCTCTCTGCTGCTTTTGCTTGCTGTCTCTGTGCTAGATACAACCTCCTGTAGCTTGGTTGGTTTGCAGTGTTCTCCTCCCCGAGACTGTGAGCATACATGGGCTGATCAAAAGATAGGTGTGTTTAAATTTTAAAAATATTACAGTAAGCCGGGGATTTAGCTCAGTGATATAAGCGCCTGCCTGGTGAGTGCGACATCTTGAGTTCGATCCCTGGTTAAAAAAAAAATTGCAGTAAAAGACATACTGCCACAAATCGCCCTCAAAACATTCCCCACTGGTTTGAACACACTCAACCCTTCTTCCTTGCTGCTTTCTGTAGCACTTCTGGAAAGAAGTGGAAGTCTTCTTTCGGGAGTATCATTATGAGATGTGATGAGAAGGACTGCATTGGATGCTGTTGCTGAGTGCCACCCAGCAGAGAGGAGGCACAGCATGACATGTGTCCTCGCCTACCTTACTCCCTGGATCTGGCACCATGTGACTTCTGGCTCTTTCTCAAAAGTAGACAGTTTGAATCAGTTCAGGACATCAAGGCAGTCACAACAGCAAACTAAAGACGTTCATGCACAAGCTACCAGAACTGTTTCAGAAAGTGCACAGAATGATGAGGCAAGTGTGTTCAAAGCAAGGGGGTGTATTCTTAGGGGCATTAGTGGCAATTATAATTTAGAATTATAAACGGGGGAATAATATATAATTATAATTATAAAGGGGGACTATAATTTACTGTAATAAGTTTGAAACATTTTTAAATGTTCACCATATTTTATAATCATAGGGGATTATAATTTACTGCAATAAATTTGAAACATTTTGAATGTTCACCATGTGTTTTGGTTGTACCTGATATGTATTCGTACACTGCTATTGATCTCATCTGTCCAGTGTTGGGTGTTGTGTACTTGGCCACCTCCTCAGCCTTATGGTGGGAACACATTCTCAAAATCATCACTATTGTAATTAAGAATTTATCTGAAGCTGAAATTAAACCACCTGAGGGATATTGTGTCAGTTTTCAAGGCTGGGCCAAAAATAACTGGGAATAAAAATGTAAAGGAGCAAAGGTTTATTTTGGTTCATGGTTTTTGAGATTTCAGTTCATGTCAGCTTGCTACGTTACTTGGCTAAGAGTGGTGGGCAGAAACATGGTGGTTTGAGGTCAAGGAAAGCTGCTCACCTCACAGCAGTGGAGGAGGGAGAGGGGAGAATGACCCTTCAAAAGCATGCTCCCTTCAACTGTTATTCCCTCTAACATTTATATCGTCTCCCAACAATGCCATCAAGTTGTGAATCCCCTGATGGGTTAATTCGCCAACGGAGTTAGAACCCTTGTGATCTAATCACCTTCCAAAAACTCTGTATCTAAACACATGAACGACTGGGAAAACATCTTAGTTCCAAACCTAAACAGATACACTGCAGGGAAACTGAGCTACCTGCTGCCAGGAAGAAAGTACGAGATGTTTCCTTATTTGTCTCTGCTTCTTTTAATCATTGTCAAGTTTTTCTGGAAATTTCCAACACATGTCTTTCATGCTCTATTGCACAGGACTGGGTCTGTTTAGGTCTATTTAGGACTCAGTTCCTGACAAACAGCACTGTGGTGATCACTTGGGACCAGTCACAGTTAGTTCCCTGAAATGGAACTAGTCCCATCTTCCATGAGCGCATTTTTAATTCAATGCCTGAATGAAATGAAGGTTTTATTAGTACAAAGGGAAAAGGAATGTGTGTTGGGTAGGTGATTGATCACGTTTATTTTCTTGACAAAGGAGAAACATTCAAGTGTTTAGAGAGCTGAAGTAGTGCCATTCCCACCTAGCTTTAAATCTGGTGACAGAATGAGAGAGCAGACAGGCAAGCTATTGGAACAGGTCAACCAATCAGCTGTCGAGTGGGGGGCCATGACCATAGCAGACAGTACATGGTGTGAGATGCTGCTCCCCAGAATTGAGGAGGGAACAAATTCTATTGGTTGCTATTATAAAATACTGCATTGCTCTGGTTCTGAAACTTTAGTATTCTCTGTAATCAGAGTCTCAAGGATTCTGGGAAAAGCTGGAAAGGAATTCCAGGGTTTTGGTTTCTGGAGGTCAGAGTAAGGCCTTTTAGCTCCCCTGGCAACTCCAAAGCATGTAATTGGCTGTATACCAAGTTATCATGCCCTCAGTGAGTTAAAAATCTGGACCAGGATTGCAGCAAACACAGTGGCCACCACCTCAGGGGTGGATGGCTGGTGAACCTTTCTAAAGTTCCTCTGTCTATGTGGTACAGAATCTGACTCAGTGCAGAGAAGCTCCCTGCCTTTGAGCAGTCAATGGCAGGGATCTCTGTTCTACAGGGTCTGTGGTTTCAATGGTAAACCTTTGAGACAAGCTGGACCACTCTTCATGTTGTCCTCAGGCCTGTTGGTGCAGTGGTGATCTTCGTGGGTGGGTCCACCTGATATTCAGTCCCGTACTGAATGGCCATGTCCTGGGTTCCCGTGCTGCCTTCTTATTGAAGCAGTCCTTGGCTGACTTGGCTTGGGCCAAGTATCATCTCATGAACCTACTGTCACCTAAGTACTCACTGAGGACACACGTGCCAGCCATTGTTCTAGGCTGTGGGGTCAGATGAGCCAAGTCTCCACTCTCATGATGCTTACAGGCTATGGGTCACAGGGCAGCGAGCTGGGTCATGTGTCTCCAACATACATTCAAGTCCAAGCTTTTGGCTGCAAATAAATAAAAATTTTACTGATATAATTAAAGATCTTAAAATGAGATCATTTTGGATTTAGGATGAGCCCTAAATCCAATGATTAATGATGTATTTTGAGAAATCAGAGACAGAGAGAGACAGAGAGAGAGAGAGAGAGAGAGAGAGAGAGAAAGACAGAGACAGAGACAGAGACAGAGACAGAGAGACAGAGACAGAGAGACAGAGAGAGAGAGAGAGAGAGAGAGACAGAGAGACAGAGAGACAGAGAGAGAGAGATTTGAGCCTCAGAGCTTGATGGCAGAAGGCTATGAGAAACAGGCAGAGACCAGAGAAATGCCATGAATCAAAGAACACCTAGACCCACCAACCTGGAAGAGGCAAAGGAGGACCCCGCTTAGATCCCAGGAGGGAGCACAGTTCTGCTGACATCTTAACTGGACTTCCAGTCTTCAGAAATTAGGGTCAATAAATTTCTGTTGGGTCTGGCACAGTAGCACACTCCTGTAATCCCAGCACTCAGGAGGCTGAGGCAGGGGGATCATCATGAGTTTGAGGCCAAACGGGGCTACATAGTGCATTCAAAGCCAGCTTGCGTTTCAGAGTGAAGACCCTGTTGCAAAAACAACCAGAACTAAATTTATGTTGTTTGTGCCACTTTGTGATAATTTGTTAGGAAAATCCTGGGAATCTGATATACACAGTAAGTCAGGAAGCAGGAAGAGCTTGGGAAGGGAGGTAGAGCAGAGGAGGAGGACAGAGAGGGCAGCGTCCCTTCTCCAGGCAGCTGCTGGTGGTCACCGTGTCAGGGACTTCTGTTAGCACCCAGGTCTTCCAGTTTCTCAGGAGAAGGCGGAACTCGGGAGGAGACGTCCACACATTTTCCCATTCATTTAAAAATTCATTAAAGCAAAATTAACACTGCTACAATGAAGCATCTTGTGAGTGTGCACAGACTGACGCTTGTGAATCTAATAAATTCGCAGTGCAGTGCCCCACTATGAAACCGGAACATTTTTATCACCCCCAAAGGAAACTTCAGCCCCACGAGATCCCTCTTCCTGCCGGCTCTGGTAACCACCCCCCATACCTGCTTCCACAGATTTCTCTCTTCCAGGTATCTCATATAAGTGAAATAATGCAGTTAAATGAATCGGCCTAAATAGCAAATTGAGAAAGATTCTTCAAAGAGAATGAATTAATGTGGCAATATGTGTTATGATAGGAATACCATAATCAACTCTATGCATATTCCAGGAGGTTAGCAGAGGGGACATTTTCAAAGTCAAAATGGAGAGGATTACAGAAGTGTTTGAAACTGCAGTGCTGCCCCAAAGGGTTAATAACAGGTGGCGTCCATCCAAAGTGTTGGGCGAATGACCTTGGAGCAGGCTTTTCTGTATGAGGTCTTTTCTTTTCTTTTAATTAAAAAAAATTTTTTTTTGTCTTTTTCTTTTTTTTATGGGTACTAGGTATCAAACTCACAACCGCCTGCTTGCAAGGCAGGTGCTTATGCCGCTAAGCTAAATCCCCAGCCCCTTCTTTTCTTTTCTTTTCTTTCTCTCTTTCTTTCTTTCTCTTTGTCTCTGTTTTTTTTCTTTGTCTTGAGACAGGGTCTCACTATGCTGGATTTACACCCAGGCTGGTGTTGAATTCACAGTGACCCTCCTGCCTCAGCTTCCTGAGTGCTGGAATTACAGGTGTGCGCCACCACGCCTGGCTGTGAGGTCTTTTGGTAGGGTGGGTCCTGGCAGTCTTCTATAACCCTGCTTCTGTATTTATTTCGGTGACACCAGGGATCAAACCTAGGGCCTTCACCCTGAGTCATATCCTAAGCCCTTATTTAATTGTTTGCTTCGAGATGGGGCTTGCTATGTTGCTCTGTGGTCTGTGGCCCTGGCAGAGCGGCAACTTGAGACCCTCCTTCCTCAGCCTCCCAGAGTGCTAGGCCCAGTGTGTGTGGGCCACCATGCCAGCTCTGCGACACTTCCTGTTACCAAGCATGAGCCTGAGAGCCCCTCCCTCCTTCTTAGCCTCCCAGTTTTATTCATTTTGTTTTAGTTTGGGTTCAAGTTTGACACAAGTGACTCCATCTTGATTCTGACAACTTCCAAATGTCAGTGACTAAAAAGCGCCGAAACAAAAAGGCCCCATGTGGACCCAATGAACTGATCTTTCCCCTCCCAAGTTTCACCTGTCACTTGGCCCTGGTGGGAAGGGCCTCACCTGTCAGAGCGATGGGGCTTGCTGGGCTGCTGTCTCTGGCCTGTGAGGCTGCTGAGGATGCCTAGCCGAGGGGAAGCTGAGCAGGTCTGCACGGGGAGAGCATCTGTGATGGCTGTGCTCAGTCTTCTCCCCTGGTGGAGGGAGGCTGTGCGAGCTGGTGCAGGAAAAGCAGCCTCTTCCCTTCAGTGAGTAGGACTCCAGGGGCTAAGAAAGGGAGCTGCTCTTCTCAGCAGTTAATTTCTTGTGCTCCTCAGGGAGGTCCAGTGCCCCCAAGTGGCAGCCAAACAGGAAACCAGCCCAGGGGCGAGGGCCACAGCAGGGGCACCAACCTCACAGCTCCCAGGCCTCCCGCGGTCAGAATTTCCTACCTGGAATTCTGCTCTGAAGAGCGTATTGTCTCCTGCTTCACTGTTCCCGCTGCGGGAGATGAGGTCATGCTTTTCCTTCAGTGGAGAGGAACACGTGAGACACTGGTGGCCACGGGCTGGGCTCATTCCCTGCACGTTACTCATCCTTTTAGGAATAGCTGTTGAGCACCTGCCAGCCTTCTGGTGGGATAAAGATGTATCGCTCTGGAGTGACAGGCTCGTTAGTCGAGGGTGGCAGATAAGTGCTGGAGTAAATCAGTGCTACCAAGTCTCAGTACCAACACACAAGGAGCACAAAGATGGATTTTACTAAAAATGAGGGGGAAATTTTGTTTTCCTTCTTCCCAGGGCCATGGAGAGTGGCGCTGGGATTTGTTCTTTGCACAGCAGTGGGAGTGGGCAGGTTGGGAGTGGAGATAAAGCCAGAGAGGGCAGAATGCATCTGCTCCCCAAAAGTCCCCTGCACAAGGCTGCGGGAGGCTGATGCCCCAAAAGAGTGGTTTTTCCTAATTCCTGCTCAACTCCCAGTTTTGCATATTTCTGCTCTTTTGTTTGTATTTTGGAATTCGGTTTTGCGATACATTTGCTGTTTTGGGAGAAATAGCTTTATTATTTTTAGGAATGGGATTTATTATTGTTGTAAGTCATCCCTTTCTGACCGGTTCATTAGAAATGCGATTGCATCTCTCTGGCTGGACTGACCTAGGTGTGGTATCTAAGGCAGAGGGAAGGATGTGGTGACTCATTTAGATTCTTTCCCAACGTTTCATACAATGAATTAGATTTTCTTTAGAACCCGTAAGTCATTTTCCCTGCTCGGTGACTTGCATGACAGACTGGTGAGGTAACCAAGAACACACCGAGCCAACTGCTAGGTTTGCTGGAGGTCTGTGCGGGAATGTAGACTTTCAAAGACCTGGGGAAACCCAGAGCCATGCCCCGTTCCCCAAACAAGGAAAAGCGGCTTCCCGCAGCCATGCAGCCATGTGTTTCACCTCCTCCCATTTCAGTTTTGTTTAAGGAGGACTCTGACATCACCAGCGTGATTTGCCTTGTCAGAAATGCTGCGGGAGCCTGTGCTTCGGGCGACTGCTTCATCCTCTGGGGTTGGAGGCAGCTACTCCCGCGCCTCCATAGCTGCTCTGCATTCCTGGCCTGCTCTGTACGATGAATCTAGTCTACAAATGTCATTTTTTATTCATCTTAGGATCATCAATAGGTGAAGGCGAATAGCCCCAGCGTGGAGAGGAGTGAACTTGTGTGTCTGCGTGCTACTAACGGTGTGGAAGGACGGCGGAGGAAACAGATGCTATTTTGTTTCCTTTTCAAAGTCAAATTGAATAGTGAAAAAGCTTTGTCAAAAATGGAAATGGTAAAATTATCAACAAATGTCTGATCTGTTGCTTCTGGCTGTGTTCTCTCAGATACTTCCTTTCTGTCAGGGTTTGTAACTTACAAAGGGAAAATTTTTCATGGGTGACATTTGAGATAAAGTCCACTGATTGGCTGCTTGTTTGAAATGCGGAACTGCTACAATCATTTGTATGTGGCAATGGCCGGAGGAAAAGGGGCAGCTTGTTTTGTTAATTATGACCCGTGGCTATGCATTTGTTTAGCACTATGAAGAGAAAAAAATAGTAAAAAGGACTTGCAGTATATTCTGGTTATTTACTGCTGACTACCCCCAGAATTTCTGGCTCAAGGCAGCAGCCACTTTTATGCCTCTCAATTTTTGTGGGTTAGGAATTTAGGGTGGGCTCAGCTGCTTAATTATTCTGCTGTCTGTGGTATAGACCGAGGTCACTCAGCAGTATTGTGCCAGCAGATCAACTTCACTCAAAAGTCTAGCACCTCAGTGGGGGCTCAGCGGGGAGGGGACTGAGTGCCAATACTCTCTTCTTAGCATGGCAGGTTGGGACTCTGAAACAGGGACAGGAAAGGAGAGAGATGCAAGAGGCAAAGGCAAGGCAGACTTCTTTAACCTGCCCTTGGAAGACCCCCGCAAAGTCTCTCCTAGACACCTCTCCCACTTTCTTCTCTTGATCCTTCAGTCTGCTCTTATAGTCTTTATTTTCATGTACCTGATAAAATATGCAAAATTAATCATAAACTAAAGTGGAAAAACACATTAGTTTTTGAACTGAAGGATCCCTGTTCAAAAACCATTGTTTATTATCTTCAAAACCTTGACCAAGTTGCTTACCTCTCTGACCCTCGGCTGCTCAGTCCTTATGCAAAAGAGGTACATTGGTTATCTTTCCCATGGCTGGACAAAATTCCTCGCAACCACAGTTTAGAGGAGGAGAGGTTTAATTTGGCTCAGGGTTTCAGAGGACTTAGTCGAGAGTTAGCTGGCTTCAAAACAGAAGCATCATGGTAGAGGAGAGCTGCTTATTTTATGGTAGCTGGGAGGCAGAGAGGAGCAACAGTACCCAAGAGAAAAGGGGCAGGGGCCAGATAAGGCACCCAAGGTTGCATCTCCATCACCCATTCAGACACGCCCTCAAGTGTGCTTTACTAATCCCCTTGGGGGCTTTCCACCCAATCGAGTTGACAATTAAGCTTAACTCTCACTCTCACAGAGGGTAATAAAATCAAACTACTAGACAGTGATTGAAGGAGATGTGTTTCAAATGTCAATCAGTGTAATTTCAAATGTCGCTGACTTTGAACCCTGTTCCATACAAACTTGTCTTGACGCAGGTTTTCTTCCTGCCACTGTCATTTATTAGAACAAATCACTAAAACTCCATCTTAGAATTATAACTATTGACAAAGTTGAAGTGCTGATTAAATAAAATGATGCCTGTAAAATCTTCTGTCGCTGTCAAGTGCATTATAATAAGAAATAACAAATCACCAGTATCAGAATCACGATTGACTCTTAATTGCTTTGTATTCCACATGATTGGAAGTGATCACCCATTTCTCTGCCTGTTGCTTATTTTTACAGTGCTTTTGATGCGGGAGATACTGTGAAATGAGGAAGAGAGGAAAGAGACTTTTTCAAGGGAGGGAACAAACAACAGACATCAACAGTAATTTATGTAGTCTAAGCATATAAGCATAATTCACTATTATAATGAAATAAAACTCAGCTAAGTTGATCTGACACATTTAATGATACACATAATCCTACTTGTAGTGCATGCTAATTAGGGCATTAAAATAAGATTTCATATATCACTGTAATTAGTATCATTTGGGTGCCACCAAAGCAAAGTTTTCATCTACTCTTCGTTATTTTTTTCTGGATTCTATAATTAGCAACAATGTGAATAATTTCTCCTGGTGAGCTACACTGTTTAATTTTATTCATTATTTCTTTCATGAGTTATTTATTGGGTGCTTGCTGTGTACCAGGTATGGTGCTAGATACTGAAGATAAGATAAGATACAGTGATTATTTCAATAGTGTTAACTCTGGCTGTAGGATTTCCAATGGTCTAAGAGCACAAAAAGGGCATATAGTCTAGTTTTGAGGTTGCAATAACAGCTTTCTGGAGAAGAAAAACCCTAAAGTACAAGTATGATTGGTTTTCTGTATCTGCATGTTTTGTTATCTCTGATTCAGTCACCTGTTTTTTCCCAACATTTGAAAAAAGCTGTATCTGTACTGAATATGTGTAGACTTTTCTCTTTGTCTTTAAATAGTACAGTGTAACAATTATTTACATAGCATTTCCTTTGCATTAGGCATAATAAAGAGATCTATAGATGAGTTAAAGTGTACAGGGAAGTATGGCCAAGTTATGTGTAAAGAGTACATCATTTTATATAATGGACTTGAGTGTCTTCAGATTTTGATATCCTCAAGGGATCTGGGAACCAATCTCTGGAGGATACTAGAAGATAACTGTAGGATTTAACCAGGACAAGGGCTTGGGTGGAAGGGAGAACAGCAAAAGAGACAAAATACAGTGTAGAGATCAAGTGGTGTGTAGCGTAAAGAGAAGAGAGGAGCTGAGGCCAGCTCAGGAAGAACCTGTGTCACGTTAAGTGGTGTGATCCTAGGAAAGGAGACATTTAGGCTGGACACTTGCTGATTTAGCTTGTGGGGAGCCAGAGGGGACCCCTGTATGTTTGGGTTACGACACTTGGTGGAAGAGGCACTTTTCAGAGAAAGGAGGTGGAATCCATTGAAGAGAAGACATTTGTTGTTGCTATGAATTTGATCTGTAAATGAGACATCCAAGGGGACCCACCCTGTAGACAGCTGGTCCATGCATCTAGATCTGTGCTGTTTAGTATCATAGCCACCAGTCATAGTTGATATTTAAATTAGTTGAAAGGTCATAAAATAAAGTTATCCTAGTTCCATTTTGGTAGTGCAGTGGCTGTCATATTGGAACATTTTCATTGTCACTGCCATGTAACAAATGACCATAATCTGTGTGCCCCCAAACTGCAGAAACTCATTGCCTCCGAGTTCTGGCACCTGGATGTCTGAAATCAGAGTGGGGTCAGGACTATGCTCCTTCTGGAGGCTCTGAGAAAGATTCTGTTCTGGGAGCTTCTCTTCACTGCTAGTGTTGGCACCAGTATTTGACATTTTGTATTCATGGGTCAAGTCTCAGCTTCCATGTTCCCTGTGATGCTGGCACTAAATTTTAGGGGACCCACTCTAATTCAGTACTACCTCAGCTTAGTTTGAGTATATCTGTAAGTAGTTTATTTTCAAATAAGGCACATTCACAGGTATGGGGTGAAGAGGTAAGGTGTTGCACCTCCAAACGGGTGCACAGTGAAGACTCAAAGGAATGAGACACACGGCATGGACTTTAGGGCTGCAGGAGGAGTGAGATCCTCTGCAGAGCTCCTGACTCTGCTATCCAGCCAGCCAACTGACCCTGGGCAGCCTGTATTTAATCAGAACAGTCAAGGAGTTGAGTGGACAATGGAGGAAGCCTGAACAGGATTTTGGGAGGGGCTCAAGGACCCCTCAAAGCAACAGATGATGCTAATTAAGGAGAACCATCTAGAAAGTCTCCAGGTGGCCTCAGCTGTGGCCTATCTTGCCCGCTGAGGTGTCACCTGGTTCTCAGTTCAATAATGCCTAGGTCACACCACAGCCTGGCATGTGTATTCAGCTTCACCGCTCTCCAGCAGTGAGGACTTATGAATATCTTTGTTTGAAACACAAATCAGTCAGAAGAATGGTACTAGATGTCCTTCTATAGGTACCAGAGAAGAGAGGG